GCTGAAACATTTCTATAATAATTTTATTGTAGAAATGTTCCTGTAATTTCTATAATTTAAACATTTTTATAATTTTATTACCACTGTAATAATTTTATTAAATAACCTCACTAATTTTACTAATTTCTTTATTCTTATTTTGTATTTTCGTCTTCGATTCTCCTTCTTATTACAAATATACCTTTCTATTAATTGAAGGGGTTGCCTCTGCACATCGAAATATTCTCCGCTAAAAGCAGTCTCGGTATTGTGGGAAGAGATGTGCAGCAGCAGTTGTAGTGCCTGTTGAAGGTGCAGAAGTTATTGTACACATGCTGAACATAATCCCAAGGGCTCGCGCTGTCTCAGTTGATAATCCCAGCAAATTTTTTAATCAATCGAATTTTACATCCACAGTCTCCCTTTTTTCTTCTCTTTCTTCTTTCCACCGTTCTACAAATCTCCTTCCCATTCCGTTTTTCCTGTACCAGGAAGCGAGCAGCTAATCTCTTTCTTTCTGTCGCGTAATCCCTCTGATCACAAATCTTCTGTTCATACCCCTTTTCTTTCGAAGATGGCCTTCGTCTTTCCTGTACTTCTTCCTTTTTTCAATTGCAATTTCCTTATCTCTGTTACGCACTCACTTCGCTACCACCGCCCCGGTTTCGCCGAGAAAGAAATAAGCCTTAGGGCGGCTCCTTACATAGCAATGCTCATGGAGGCGGGCTGTCTTTGTGAAATCGCACAGGCACCTGGCGATCTTCATGGTTTATTCATGTTAAGGATTCGCATTCCTCTTTAACCGCCTTATAGATAATTTTTAGTATCCCCAGATTAGTTTATGTTTTTCAACGCAATTTGATACGTTTTTGTCTAATGCAACACCGGACAACCAAATTTTGCACTTTTGTAATTAAACTGACCGATGCTATGATAGTTGTGTATAGGGAATTTCCGTATAGTTCATGTAGTAATTTTATGCGTTCTGTGTTATTGTCGAGACCGTGTGTGTATGTGTGTGCGTGTGTGTGTATGTGAGTGCGTGTGTGTGTGTATGTGTGTGTGTGTGTGTGTGGGTATGTGTGTGTGAGTGTGTGGGTGTGTGTGTGTGTATGCATGGGTGGGTGAGTATGTGTGTGTGTTGTATGTATTCCGAATCGTAGAAACCAGAAAAGCTACGAAGCTAAAATTTTGGACGAATGTTCCCTACTCGTGTGTGACTCCGTATACTTCAATTTAGCCCCCACCCACACTTGCATCTTACATAGAGCCACGCCAAATTTTCGGCACGGAATTTTCCGCTTCGGAAATTGTCAAGATCGAAAACTGAAAAATTTTAATATGATATTTCTTCAGTGTACAGTCCTGAAAGCCCAAATCCAACTTTCGTGACCATTTATAACTGAAGTATGGACAGGTGGAATTTTACATGGGGAATTTTTAGCTCGAAAACCAGACAAAATGAGAAGCTGATGTTATTGGAGGATGTCTTCTGTTTATATGCGATCTTACAAATTCAGATCCAGCTCTCACGAATGCTTACTTTTCACGCACTAGCACTTGGAAATTTTGGTGCAAAATCTTGTGGCTTGGAAGCCAGAAACATCTCCACTATTTTTTCGCGCAACAAACTGTAAAGCAGTGAATATTCCTCAAGCAGTAAATGCCTGTTGAATAGAACTGATATGACCGCAGCGGGGCCACCCTTGTGTGCGCCACCACTTATTGTTATTGCATTTGTTTATTTTTAGGAGAAATTGTTGCTTTGTTTCAGGTGGCCAAGAAGAAGTGCCTGGAATTGGAGAAAGAACTGAGCGCCGAAAGGGAAAATGCCGAGCGGCTGCAGAAAAAAATCGGTAGCCTCGAAGAACAACTGTATGGAAAAGATCATGAGCTTGACACGTTGAATACAAAATATGCTGGGATGATCGAAGGGCGTGATAATCAGATTCGTACACTGCAAGTGAGAGGCTTCACTTTTTTGATGATTCTTCGCTTTGTGAAGGATTTATCAGTATTTTTGTGTAGAGGGAGTGGAGAGGTTGAGAATGGGAGTCGGGAGGGGGAGGAAAAACCAAGGTAAGGGAGGGGGAGGAGGAAATTCCGCACTAATCTGGTAATTCTGCTGACATGTGTGTTAAATTTAGACAAGTTCTTACTTTTTATTGTGCTAGTCTATCAAAATTCCGCTTTGATGAAGTTGCATTTTGTTGTTTTCTGATTGAATATGTTATTCAGGATTGTGGGGAAGAAGAGGTAGGAGGTAACATGCAATCTCGACTTTGCTTTGCGCTTCGACGAGTTGATATGTTGAGCAACCGAGCCTTTGATTGAAATTTTTTGAATCAAAATTGATTCAGTGCTTTTTATAATACAGTTCATTTCAGGCAGATCTGGAAAGACTTCGCCATAGCATTCATCGTCGCGAATCAGTGGGTGACGAGGATGATGAGGATGCAGTGTTCCTCGAAGGTACTACACGTATTACGCGCATGAAAGACGAAATCGAGCATCTGAGAAAAGAAGTGGCACACTGGAAACGCCTTGTCAATGAGGGATCGAAACAAAACCCTTCACAGAAGGTTTTTTTTTTCTCGATTTTTGTATAAAATAGCTTTTATTTGTTTCTAGAACCATGTTTTATGGAAATGCACGGTTAGTTTTTATCTGATTTAGGCTAATTTTTTTGGCTAATTTTTGACGCCTCGAAACAAAATTTGTGGAAGTCTGTACTCGTTCTTTTCATGTTTTTTTTTTGTTCAGTTAACTGCGTACTGTTTAATCCATTAAGTCATAAATGGCAAAAGCTGTTTTTGTAAAGTCGCTTAAGATGGAAGCAAAATTTTCCAACTCATTAACATACACAAATATGCAAGTTTTCAACTGCAGGATGTAACAGTAGCAACAGCTTATCGATAACATTGTGCTAATCGTCATATAACAATAAATTCTTAATTCTGTATTTTTTCCAAAGCATTTGATTTTTTTTTAACTTTTTTATGCGTTTTGTGCTGTGTAACAACAGTACAAAACGCATATTGTTACGGGGTTGTCTGTGTG